GTCGGTGGGTCCTCAGGGCTATGGCGTACCGTCTAGGCACAGCAGCACCCGTTGCTATCTATCTGGATATTTTTTAGCAAAATGTTGTGAATTATTTTCATTCAAAGAAATCGAATTAACCCAAGAAATACGAATTTTGATGTCTTGATGTGGTAGCTCTACAGTTCTGCTTTTGCAAATACACATAAAGATCATCTTGGGCTCACAAATATATACTCTGCAAAGATTGACTGCAGCAACCTAGTATGGTGTGGGTATCAACCACTATCTTCGATTTGTATATTTAAAAATAAGTAGATGAACCAAATATTCACCCAACACTTATTTTGTAAGTCTAGAGGAGCCAAACGTCACGGAAGCTGTCACGGTTTGCAAGTTTTTTTCCTTATTGCGCTCGTAGAAGGATATGATGTCATCTAGAAGGTAGTCCATTTTTTCCAGAAGACTTTCCACTCTCTACAAATTCAGTTGATATTATAAAAAGGAATTTAAGACTGTTTGATTTACTTCTTTATTTTGTTCCGTAACTTCTTTGGACATTTTATCGAGAAAGGGGATCATGAACGGCAGGAATGTGAACCCAATGAAAGGCAGACATTGACAGTACGCCTCCTTGAGCTGAAATAGATGCCTATAAATGAGAATTCCAAGGAAATTCGGTAACCTGTTCAAAGGTGTACGGCATTTTCATGCCTCCCACTTCTTCTTTCAAAACAGAATAGAAGTTTTCAAGCAAACCCGTCCAGTGTTCTTGTCTGTCTTTACCGCTAAGACATGAGATGAGCATCGAAGCGATGTCTACAGCTGCAGAGCCCATATGAGCACACTAAATTTGCTTTTTTCATGTAAGATTTTAGCCGTGCAAAAAAATGTATTTGGCTGTCGATCACTCAAAGGCATCAAGCAATCACACTATATGGGTTTCATGAAGAATAAGGGATCAAGTGTGGCAACCTTCCAACTCATAAGGAGTCCCAATTTTCCATTTCGACATTCTGCATATTTTGCGTCTTATACGCACAATCCGAATGCAGCTTCAG